CATCAATAAGAACAGCCCAATAGGTGAACTACAACACGACACATAGAAGTAGGATTTTTTACCTTGTCAGTTATATGCCATGTGTGATACACACTTAAGCAGTCATGTATCTTTCGGTACATGACTGACGAGGCAGATTTTTTCCACAGTAGGTTGCCATTTCATTATGCGGTAAACCAGTTGCCATCCAAAGCTATAGAACAAGGTCTGTCTTGCTATTTACCCATAGCTGGAGGAAGATGAAGAGGATTCATACCTTTCCCAAGGGTATTAGTACATAAGTGAATGTAATGGATTCGACTGGAATTCGAACTCGGCCTAGTCCGAGCCGCTATCCATTACTCCATCGTGCCTCCACTCTCCCTTTCACTCTCTTTCTCTCTCTCTCTCACTTCCACTTTCTATCTCTCACCTTCACTCTCTTTCTCTCTCTCTCTAACTTTCACTTTCTATCTCTCACTTTCCCTCTCTTTCTCTCTCTCTAACTTTCACTTTCACTTTCACTCTCTCTCTCTCTCTCTCACTTCCACTTTCAATCTCTCACTTTCACTCTCTTTCTCTCTCTCTAACTTCCACCTTCTATCTCTCACTTTCACTCTCTTCCTCTCTCTCTTACTTCTACTTTCTATCTCTCACTTTCACTCTCTTTCTCTCTCTCTCTCTCACTTCCACTTTCAATCTCTCACTTTCACTCTCTTTCTCTCTTACTTCCACGTTCTATCTCTTACTTTCACTCTGTGTGTGTGTGTGTGTGTGTGTGTGTGTGTGTGTGTGTGTGTGTGTGTGTGTTTGCATTGTATTCCTTCAGGACATCGCTCTACACAGATTTCAGACTTTTTCTAAGCATCTTTTTTTTTACGTTACTCTAAGCAATCAACACGTCACGAGTCCATTAGGGTCGTTGGAGCATTCCATGTACTGCAGCCATGGCAATAATGATGTGTCCAGGGAAAGATAACCTGACGAAGTTTATTCCTCTTGCCACCTCAAAGAAAGAGCTCGTTTCCTGTTTTATGCCATCGCTAGAAGATAAAAATAGATTCATACCTTTCCCAAGGGTATTTGTGAAAAAAATAAACGTACCTAATAAACTCATCCAGAATTCGAACTCGAGTCACCGATTTCTCTTTCTCTACCCGAACACCCTCAAGGAATACTTTCTCTTTTATAAACATTATTTCTCTTTGTTTTTGTCATGTGTACGACAAAAGAAATAGGATAAAGGGAAGTGAACGAGAGAAGACCAACTCAGTTTTATAGCAAACAAAAAAAAAACGTTTTATTATAATTTTCGAGATTATGGTCAATTACAAAAAAGAAAAATCATAAAGGTTTACTGACAAGAAGTTCAGAAATGCTTCGAAATAACTTCAGTCGGGGTTTTGTCGTATTAAACGGACTGTTCTGAAGCAGATTTCTACAACAACTAACTTTGCCAGCCAACTCGCTTAATTTTGGCGCCAACCAACAAATACGATGAAAAAACCTCTACTTGTAAGTTCTTCCGACCACATCAAAGAGTTCTTTGCAGTCTTTTATCAAAATGACCCAAAACTCACAGAAGATTCTTTCATAAAAATAGATTCTCTTAACAATTCTGTCCTTTTGTATAAATTTGTTGGACTTAACGCGCTGTGTTCTCTGTACTCGTGCCTCCAATGTGCCTTGTGAGTGTTAAATTTCCAAGCCATCCTTACTCCCAAGAATGTTAACTGCCTCTTTCTGATATTAGTCCACCTAATACAAAGCCCAAGAGCCACTCAAGGTAGAGGGTTACTGATTGCAAGGGAGGAAGAAGGGGGGAGTAAGGGAGTATTATGATGATGAGTAGGATAGATATTGGTTGACTCTTGACTAAATGACACCAAGATTATAGTTGTCATGGAACTTGACTAAATGACACTAACGCTAACCCTCGTGCGATGGCGTTCCTTCGGAGGATTGGCGCGATTGCATCTCGATTAAGGGATGAGCCTCGCGAAACAGAGTCTTCTTGCAGTGTGTCTCACTGGCGATGGTGCGAGGTAATGCTTTCTCCATAAGAAAAATAGCAAAAAATAAAATAAAATAAAACATTTTGTTTATAGTTAATTTGTTCACACCGCAACTTCTACTAACGTTGGTTTTAAATAGTCGAATGCACGTGTTTATTCTTAATATAATACAAAAATATAAGTCAGTCAGTTATGTACGACACACACTTAGGTGATGATGTATCTTTCGATACATCACTAACGAGACAGGTTTTTTTCTAGCAGACCAGTTGTCATCCAAGGCTATAGAACCCGGCTGTTTTACCCAGAGGTGGGGGAGAAGAAGATGATTTATAACTTTCCCAAGGGTATAAAATGAATGTAATGGATTCGACTGGAAAGTCAGTCAGTCAGATATGTGCTATGCGTGATACACGCTTACGCGATCATTTATCTTTCGATAAATGACTGACGAGGCAGATTTATTTCACACAGTAGGTTGCGATTTCTTTCTGTGGTAGACCAGTTGCCATCCAAGGCTATAGAACCCGGTCTGCCCTGATATAGAACCCTGCTATTTACACATAGCTGAGGAGAGATTCATACCTTTCCCAAGGATATTAGCACGTAAGTGAATGTTATGGATTCGACTGGAATTCGAACGCGGTTCTCTGAGTTCTCAATCCGAGCCACTATCCATTACTCCACGGTTGTTAATCTAAAATAAGTCAATAATTATTTATAATTATTTACACTGGAACTCAAGCGTCAGATATACACTTTATTTTATTCTGTTTATTTTCATTTATTTAAAGATTATTTTTAAGCACATTTCGGTCAAGATTTTATTTGTCTGTGACAATTATCGTGGGAAGACGCTAGTATTATATTTATATACTAGCAGTAGAGCCCGGCGTTGCCCGGGGATGTAACAGTAAGAGATAGATCAAGTATCCACCATCATAAAGACTGAAAAATAAAATTGACAAAGATTATTGTTTAAGGTTGACGGACACGCATGTCTTAATTAGTTTTTTTTTGTTTGTTTGTTTGTTTGTTTTTGTTTTTTTTTTAAGAATTGGTCAAACTCAAACAAAAACATTGTTTTCAATCATTATGAGTCTACCGATTGAATTATTTTATTATAAACAATTGTCTTGTAAATGGAATTTTTAAAGCATTCTGAATGTAAAAATAAAGAAAAAAGTGTGCAAGACAATAAGAAACACTACCTGCCAAAAAGAAAGTGAAGTTTTGTTGAAATCGGTTGAAAAATGTAGGAAATCCGATCCCATATATAAACGAACACACACACAAACAACCTGGGTTTTATAATAAGTATAACTCGACATGAGTTGTCCCCCTTTCATTCTGACGACAGAATCGTGTTTTCAAATTGATTTCGTGCAAAAACAATTGTGTTTTTCCGATTTTTGGCGATGTCAGAACCACCGCAAGGTAATTTTACGTAGTCCTGTGAAGTTTTGTTGAAATCGGTTGAAAAATGTAGGAAATCCGATCCAATATATAAACGTACAGATACACACACACACACACACACAACCTGGGTTTTATAATAAGTATGATTACAGAAATCTCCTCAGTATTTTCGATTATTTGTTTATGATATCATTTGGATAAATTCAATTCTTCCCTGGGTTTAAAACTTTTCTTTCTATTTAGTCACTTCAAGTAAGAAGTTATTATTTCATAATATTTTATATTTTCTCATTTTCTTATTATATTCAAATATTTTTCTTTTGCTTACTTTTTAATAATTAATAATCAGGAATTTTCAGTTTCTTTCAGAGATAATATTTTCTTACTTTTTCTTGGCAAACTTAGGCATGTTGAATAATTTTTGAATTCGCGTAAATAAAAGTGCTAAGGGACATTTATAATGGTTTACCATAAGTAACTCTGCGAATAGTTTTCGAATTTACTGTCTTCTTTTATATCGTGTGCCTCTTAATGACAAAAAGAGATCACAGTTCTCCACAACTAACAAACCTTTTGTACTACCCCCCAGTCCTGCCATCGATTTACACAAGCGTATTAGGTTGGTTACTCACTGTTCCCCCTGACACTCTTGCCTTCGATATCTCATGTGGGGGTTAACTTCTCCAAACCCTGTTTTCTCATTATGAGATTTTAACTGTCTCTTTCTAATTCTAAGTATTCTTTTTATTTCTGTTTCCCTTAAAACTTTCTTGATGTTCTGTCCATAGTATTCTCATCAACCTTCTGTAGAACAATATTTCCGTTACCTCAAATTTCCTCTTCGTCTGTGAGAAGATTTTCAAGCATTCACTACCTTAGTTTTTGGGGGTTTTTTTTAATCGGTATCGCCCCAAGCAACGCAGTAAAGTCACTAACACACAAAGCTTTACAGGGTGTGGAAGAATTAGGAACAGAAACATTAGTAATGAGCAAAAAGTAATCAGGATGATAGTAGATAGAGATTGACAATGCATTTAAATTTTTGAAGATTAACGATGGCTGGAAAGCATAGAGCCAGAAGGGAGTTCCACTAGCGAAAAGTGCTGGAAAATAAACTGTCAATTACAGCTACATCTAGCTAGCTCAACTGTAAATGGGTGAAATCTTGACACCAGTCTAGTATTGCGCTTAACCCATACACTCTATGTACCCTAGCGAAGAGCTCATCCGAATAATTAGCATGAAAGTATTTATAGAAAAGGCAAAGGGGAGCAACCTAACGGCGATAGCCCTTCAGTACACTGTTTTTTGTTTCTAATGAAATTTTTCTGCTTCTTAATACTTTACTTAGCTTCTTGAAAACTTCTTTCGATATTCCAATGCGTCTTCAGATTTCAGTGTTACATTTTCTGTCTTCTGTTAAGACACGTCTCAGATAGTTAAATTTCTGTAATTGCTTAATTATGACATCTCCAATTCGGAACTCAAAGTTTTGGACTCTTTCGCTTGCTAACGATCTAAAGATAGATTTTCAGACTCAAAGACTTGGAAGTAAGCAACAAAAGAATCCGTTTTACGTCAGTACCGACCTACAACGATTCCTGGTCAAGACGTAATCTTCATTAATCTTGTTTTGATGCCGTTTGCCTCATACATACGACAAAACGCAGCGGAAGAATACATTGCGCAGTGGAAGAATACGTCGTTATACGGCGCTAGAGTGAAGAAAGCGACGTAGTCCCGTTCCTGGTTGTACGCCATGTTGGATTGTTGCGCATCCGCTCCCTTTCGTTTGTATTGTTTATGGAAACTTATTGGCCTTCATTATAGTTTCCGAGCGTAGTGTAACCTCTTCTGATGGCCGTGATTCGAAGAAAAGGAAATCCGTCGTCATGGGAGTAAAATTAAACATTGTTAAACGTTCTGAAAAGGAAAAATTCGTGCGAACATGGCCGGTTACTTGGCTTAACTCGTGCAACTTTATTTATATGTATTATTTTCATTTCATTATATGAATTATATTTATGTCCTCCATGTATTTTAAAGTCCTAATTATTGTCAACATATGTCGTAAAAATGTGTTATGTACTAGATTATTACTTAACTATTGCATTAATATGCGCGAATGACGTAAGTGCTTATTCACAGAAAATCGCGTTACGACACATTTGTAGGATATACCTTTTACTTTTATTTATTTATTTATTTATTTATTTATTTTGTTTGTTTGTTTGTTTGTTTGTTTGTTTGTTTGTTTGTTTGTTTGTTTGTTTGTTTGTTTGTTTGTTTGTTTGTCTGTCTGTCTGGATGTAAGAATAGCGTAGTGGTTAACGGCGTGGAAATTGGAATCCGTATGCCGAGTTCAAATTCCGGCCGAGTAAACTTCCACGGACTTAACTTTCGCAAGGTTAAATAGCAATCAAATACTGAAATAGCTTTCTAGCTTTGATTTAAAACCAGAAGAATGCTGACACTGAATTCAAAATCGGTTGATGTGGGGCTGGTAACTCCACCTACAAGCGTGTTGAGGCTGTGGTCCCAGCGTGTGAGGCGGTGGCCACATAGCAAAATCTAATAGCATTAAGGTGGAGGAGGGATTTATTTGTTTATATGCTCGCAGGAAGAGCAACACAATATGTATACATATTGTATTTATTAATAACATTCATTTATAAAATAAAAAGTTTTTTTGTCAATAATAGACTGTTTGCATACTTTTCAAGTGATACCATGCGAGCATGTGTTTATAAGTGTGTGCGCCTGTGGGTGTGTGGGTGTGAGCGTGGGTTTGTCGATGTGTGCGCATGCGTGTGTGCGCACGTGTGTCTGTATTTGTGTGTGTATGTGCATGTGTTTCCGTTGATTTATACGTAACAACAGCAACTCTTGGCCACTATACTAAATAAACATGTCGCATTCAAGAATAAAATACATTTTTCCTTCTTCTTTTTAATAGTTCTCTTCTCTTCTTTTTTTCCTTTTCCCCCGTTGTCGTCTTTCTGTGAAATATTATGTAACTCTTCTTTTATTATTAATGTTTGCTTTTTATCCTGATGCTCTCGATCGATAATAAACATATTTCATCTAAGAATTCAGATAACGTAAGTCTTTTTATCACTATTATCGATGACGTACTTGTACTTCTGGCTTAATTCCGGAAACAGTCGACATACTTTGATTTTTCTCGAACAATAAGAAGCATTTCCCTTATTCTATTTATGCCTTTTGTTGGTCTTTGATAAGCAGCAGACATATTTCCTAATAAGACAAATGCTGAAAAAAAATGAATTCACTGTAAATTTATTGTTTAATAATTTCATTGAAGCTCTCAGTCTTTCATTAATATTCATTTAATTTCTATTTTTGTGCCAATCTTCTTCTTCCTCTTCCTCTTCCTCTTCTTCTTCTTCTTCCCCTTCCCTTCTTCCCCTTCTTCTTCTTCTTCTTCTTCCACTTCTTCCCCTTCTTCTTCATCTTCTTCCACTTCTTCTTCTTCCCCTTCCTCATACTCTTCCCTTTCGCCTTCCTCCTCTTCCCCTTCTTCCTCATCCCTTCTTCTTCTTCTTCTTCCCTTTCCTCTTCCTCTCCCCCTTCCCATTCCTCCTCTACCCCTTCCTCTTCTTCTTCCCCTTCCTCTTCCCCTATCCCTTCCTCCTCTTCCCCTTCTTCCCTCTTCCCTCCTTCTTCTCCCCCCTTCTTCTTCTTCCTCTTCCCTTCTTCTTCTTCTTCCACTTCTTCTTCTTCCCCTTCCTCTTCCTCTTCCCCTTCTTCTTCTACTTCCTCTTCCTCTTCCTCCTCCTCCCCTTCTTCTTCTTCTTCCCCTTCTTCTTTTTCTTCTTCTTCTTCCACTTCTTCCCTTCCTCTTCCTCTTCCCCTTCCTCTTCCCCTTCTTCCCCTTCTTCTTCTTCTTTTTCTTCCCCTTCTCCTTCTTCTTCCCCTTCTTCCCCTTCTTCTTCCGCTTCTTCTTCCCCTTCTTCTTCTTCTTCTTCCCCTTCTTCTTCCCCTTCTCCTTCTTCTTCTTCTTCTTTTAGTAGCTCTTGAATCTTGTATTGTTTGAATATTATTAAAATTGTCTTGTTGCTGCCGTGTTTTTGTTTTTTTTTTTCTACATTACTTTCAACTTCCTTTTTACTGATTACCTTCGTGCTGATGGTGTGGTTCTTCAACATTTTCTATTTATTTCATTCAGTCTTGTATTCTTGTATCTTCTTCTCTGTCCATTTTTATTCTTCAGCAACTACATATCCTTTATTTTTTTCCTGTTTCATTTTTTATTCTTTCTTTTTCTAGCTTTTTTTTTCTCGTATTTCAAGTTTCGCGTATTTTCCAATAATTCTATTTCCTCATACTTGTCGCTTTTTTTTTTCTCTTTCCTCTTTTTTAATCTTTCCTTTCATTTTTCTGTTGCTCCAAACTCACCTTTCATTCCACATAACTCTTTTCTTTTTCAAAGACTTTTTCTTTTATTATTTTTCCATATCTTTCCACTTCTTCGTCTGATTCACATTTCTTTTTAACTTTTTGAAATCTCCTTCTTTTAGCTTCTCTTTTTCATTTTTACCTTTGAACTTCGTACCTTTCATTCAACCCCAACACCAAACTGCGTCTCCTTCTTCCTTTTTAACCTTTTGTTCTTCATTTTCTTCGGGTTCTCCTCCCCACTTTAACAACAAGATGGCTGCCTCTTTTGTAAGAAAAGGTAATAGCTTCCGGTTAGGAAATCTCATGCAAATGACCTCACGCACGCCGCCTCTTTTTATTGCTTGCTCATTTGAATTTTTGCAGCCTCGTTCTGACCTCCACTTTTATCAGAAAATATCTCTTCTCATTAGTCGGCATTCATATTCAAATATACCTAGGTACGAAGTCGCTCACATAGGCGTTCAAGTGACTCCCCCTTGATGGGCGCGTCTCTCTGATTCTTTATGCGCAAAGCCAAATGTGTGATATGATTTTCATTATTCATATATAAGAATCAGTGCCAAGTGTAAAGATTTGTTTATTTAGATTATAAATAAATGTTAAATGTATACGTAGAGGCTTTCATTTGATTACGAGAGAAACAGAGGAACTAAATTATCCCGTTTATAAATAGTATTGATAGAATATAGAGAGAGAAAACAGAAGTGTTGAGATTGATTTTAATATTTGTATGACACTTATATAAATTCTATATGTACAGGTCCTAGTATATCTTAGTACAGTGTTTCTACACCTTTTAAAACAACTGCACACCTAGGAGCAACGGCACATTTAGCAAAAATTTTAAAGGGTATACATTTAAATCGTATGAAATAAAACCATATATTTTTTAAAAAATATACACACAAATATGTACTTACTTTATTTCAATATTTCTATTCAACTATTTGGTCAGCTTATTTAGTGTGAAACCTGCGACTGGTGTCTTTTCGTGATTTCGTCAATGTTTGGTCAAATGTGCGATAAGCAGACCTTCAATTCTTTTTCAATTGAGTGAAGACTTTCTTGCTTCTTATTTTTGATGTTATTTACGGTTGAGGAGCCGAATTCACATAAATAAGAAGTAGAAAATTGCAATAAAACTGATAAAGCCTTTTTTAGCCAATGTCGGATATTCCTTTTTGTATTAAAATCCAAAATTATCAATGGGTGTCGTCGAATGTTTAAAATAACATAATCGAAGAATAGTGAAAAGAAAACTTTAATACATATTCATTTATTCAAATACTAACGCTCTACTTCCGCATGCACACATACAAACACATACACACACACACACACACATATATATATATATATATATATATATACATGTACCATGACAATATTTCATCACACAGAGTATCGCGCGACACACGAGTTGAGAATCAATGTCTTAGTATATATTTATATCTATCTACTTGCACATGTATATGAGTTTCAGAAGCTGAGATAGATAGATAGATAGATAGATAGATAAGGAACAGACTAAGATAGATAGATAGATAGATAGATAGATAGATAGATAGATAGATAGATAGATAGATAGATAGATAGATAGATAGATAGATAGATAGATTCTTGAAGCATTTAGGGTAACCTACTTCAGTAAATCAGTTCAGTGCCATTCAGTACTATTTAACCCATAGCTGCGGGGGAAGTCATTGATGCATATATTTCCCAAGGTTATTTGAATGTAACGAACTCGACTGGAATTTGACTTCACCCACCCAGTCAGTTAAGTACCACAACTGATACCCACTTGGACGATGCTGTCTCTTTCGTTTCATGACTGACGAGGCAGAATATTTTCCCCACATTAGATTGCCGTTTCTTTCTGCGGTAGACTGGTTATCAAGCAGTGTTATAGGGTCATATCCGTTCTACTATTTAACCCATAGCTGGGGAGGGTCAAGTCATATAAGTGAATGTAACGAAACCAAGTGGAATTCGAACTCGGTTCTCTAATTTCTCATATGTTGCACCACACCGCACATCCGTAACCTACACTTCCCGGCAAACATTGTATCAAAAGGACAGTTTTTTTCTCACGACATCGTTTTTTTAAGTAACTTCCCTTTTCGCAATATTTATTGTTTTAAGGATGTCGCTTAAACAACACTGTTCACACCTTACCTGATCAGCTAAGCTTCTTCGTGGCCGAGTCGGTTAAGGCACGTTGGTTCCATTTCATCTTCAAGCGAATTTTGGAGTAACTTTTAAAATTACAGGGTTTTAAAGACACAGCAAAAATCATAATTCACGTTTCCAAGGATACAGAGAAATCCAATTCAACCAGACAAGTTTAAAATTGGTCAATTTTGCTGTTACACAATTTGTCCAATTTTGCTGTTACATCCAATATATATATATATATATATGAGGAATGATAATTTAATTCACAGTATAGCCTTGTGAAAGCAAAGTTTGCTTACATGGTCAATATTGGTTGGGGTTATCTTTCTGAAGCAATGCATTTTATGATGTCATTATTAGAACACGTTTCTTGAATACTTTTCGTTGATGTAGTTAAGGATGTCAGCAATTTCGCGGCATTTTTCAGTCTTGGAATAAAATGGATTTACGTTTAGTGAATAAGACGGAAATCTGTTTTTGTCCTGTTTTCTTTTTTAAAACCCGAATTTTATAACTCTTTACATATCATGCAGAGGGACAATGGTCGATAATAAACCAGAGTTAGAATCTTTTTCTCCGAATAGATTCGTATAACCTGTTCATCACTTCCAAATAAACATCCTGATTGACTGTCTGTCCTTGTGCAAAGAATTTCTAGTAAACTTTCCTCTTATGATCAAAGAAACATAGTCGCTTGACCTTGAACTGAGAGTGAGGCGTGTGTGCCTTTTATTCGATCAAGGGCACTTCCTTGATTCCTATTGCATTGGATTGAAAACATCACATTTCATCACTAGTAATGAGCTCATCAAACACGCCCTCATTATTGAAAAAATAAAATGAAACATGAAGCCTATGTTGTGCCACTCATCAGTCAAGATGCGAGACACCATCTTTGAGGAAATTTTTCTCATTCCCATATCCTCAGCAAGGATCTGTCACGTTTCATATTCAATTCTGATATCAGTTGCACACTTCGCACTCTGCTCCCCATTGCGTATATATATATATATATATATATATATATATATATATATATATATATATATATATAATATGGAAAGCAAACGAGAATTGTGATAGAAGAAACTGTTAGCATAGAACTTGCGGTTACATCTAGCCATTTCAGCTGTAAAAAGATGAGACCTATCTGCCAATCTAGTACTACGTAAAGTCGAGGTACGAAAATGAGAAAGTAAAATGTATTTTATAAAGATACAAAAATGTAATACAAGACCAAAATGGTGGATGGGTGAAAGCTGGTCTTCTGTCTTATAATTAAACCTAGCTTGCCACAATTACTGACCCAAATATACCAAAGTATTCCTTACACCAAAACACATATTTTTATTTACTATTCTTACTAAATTCACCATAATATCTGTATGAGGTCCTATCTAATCCTCATATGTACCATTCTTATTGTGGGGGGAAGGTTAAAACCAACAACAAAAAAGAAATTTTATCAGAACAATTACCATGAGAATATTTATAGAAAAGTCACAGCGTAGCTACTATTACGTATTTTTAAGAAATAGCTGAAATGGCATCCAGAATTCGGTATCCTATTAAAGCTGATTTGCTTGTTTTTATTATTATTATTATTATTATTATCAAGTTGCAGTGTTTGTTATTCTATGACCATTGTCTTCATGAGAAGAATTAGAAGTAATATTAATAATTGTAATGTCGGAAATCGTGACCATCTTTTTAATATCATTACTACCATTAGCCATATGACTACAGTCCATACTGTTTTTATTCTCATTATCTTTAAGCAGCATTTCGCGTAGCCATTGTCCGTTGTGACGCCAACCAATCAAAAATCCCATTTTTTTATTTATTTTTTTATTATTATTTCTTTCTTCTTCTTTTTTCAATAAATCTTATCATTTCCATTCGTTCTCACTTGATTTCTCTATCACACTCACATTATTTCTTTCTCTTTCCCTTTTTTTTACTCTCTCTCTCTATAAGTCTACTCGTTTTTTTTTTTTCTTTCCCGTCTCTATTTTTTTTTAAGCCAGTCCTTTGCAGAGTCAATCCCACAACCACTTTTCACATTCTCAGGACAACTTATTCAAGCAGTTTTTTCTGTATTGGTTGCCTCTATGACCTCAGGACAAAAAAAAAAAAAGTGAAGACAAAAAAAAAGTACTTCTTCAGCGAAAATGGCGGCACGAGCTATATTTGTAGTGTACATTGTATTGCGAAGGTGATGGTCTATTTACTCCAGCCTGTAGACATATTTTCTTCAGGCCAGCTGCTACACTGACCACATCAATCAGAAAAGGTCTAAGGGAATAGGGAACTCCTTTTTTTTATGGATCGTTTTATTGGCACATTCAGAGTGCGTCTCTTTGACTTATTATAGGTATTTTGTCCCTTTAAGTCGGTTAGAATAAAAAGACACGTATATCTTATGGTAGTTCCCAGATGAGCCTCAGAATCGGCGATGATGACACAGAACAATAAATATGATAAGAAATTTGATATACAGTTATCAGAACATGTCTACATAGAAACATATATCAATGTAGATACGTCATGCCAGTGGGATTGGTGTATTTCATATATCTATATCTATATATATATATATATATATATATATATATATATATGTGTGTGTGTGTGTGTGTGTGTGTGTGTGTGTGTGTGTATTCATATATAAATAAAAAATATATCTGTAAAAACACAATAGGACAAAGTGCAAAAGGAAAACTATTCTTTACCAACACGTTTCGTCCTCTGATCGACATTTGTCTTGATAAAGTCCATCAGAGCACGAAACGCGTTGGTAAAGAATAGTTTTGCTTTTGTCTTTATTCATATATATGTGTGTGTGTGTGCGTGCGCGTGCGTATGTGTGTATTCTGAGGAATTAAAGGATTTGATTTATAATCCGACATTATTATCACTATATATAATGTAATATATATAAGTAAAAATAAATAATAAAAATAGTAAATTTAAAATGTTGATATGTTTTAACGAAACTCTAATATCATAAGAATTTAAAATTCGAAATCTATGATTAGCTTTTTTACCTTAGGAGCATAAATATATTTGTTTTATAATTTCAATAGATTTATCGAACATCAGATTCTGGCGCGAAGCTCCGGAGTTGACAAATGTGATAAGTCCATTGAACTCTTTGAATACGTGTATTTAAATAAACATTTCCTTTTTTTCATTAAATTCAATGACTATCGGCCTAGACATGGAAAGGCTAATGAAAATAAATGCGTCTCCTGAGTGGACACGAACCTGCAATCCCTTTTGTTAATCTCGGAGAGTTCAAGACAAGTGTGCTTTACCATTTAACGACAAGAAGCAGTCATAGTTTCCGAATAGAAGCAAATAATAATTCTTAATAAAAACAAAAAAAAAACACCACTCAATAATATCAATTATGAACATGGACACAATATTTTGACCGTGTTTTTTAATATGAAAACATTATATAAATACATACATGCAACAAACTATTTCTTATTTCACAGTTAAAATATTTAATCCTTGAAAATGGCTAAATGTATAGCCGAAAGCGCTCGGATAAAAAGAATATTCGGACAGTTTTTATATAATTTATCATCTGAAAAGAAAAAAAAATTATTGGATCATATGAGAAATTGTATAAAAAAAAAATAAATCAAAGCACCTTGTCTCTCGTATTCAATGAAATGTGTGCGCGCACACACACACACATATATGTATATATATGTGCGTGTGTGTGTGTGCACCTATATATATATATATATATATATATATATATATATATATATATATATGTCGGTATACATGTATGCTATCCCTTTGATATTATTTATGTATGTGTGGGTTTGTGGGTTATGTTTCTGTATGTATATATATATATATATATATATATATATATATATATATATATATATAGTGAACTTTGAAGTCACATTAGAGGCGACAGACACACATAGACGCAATCGTCAGGACGTGGTCTAACGATCGTCTAGCATGAAACAGACTGTCGCCTCTAAGTATTGACTTCAATGTTCACTTTTATATTTACACACGCTCTATCTCTGATTTTGAGCATTTTATCACATAAATATAGCACAACTTTGAGAATATATTTCTTCACACATATATATATATATATTATATATATATATATATATATATATATATATATATATATATATGAATATGGTTTCTGTTTAGACGTTATTTTTATAGATACAAATATTTAAGTAAATGCTCTGTTAATATTAAACAGTATTAACAACATTTACCAGCCGGAATGTTCGATATATTTTATGGAACGTATGTGTCCTCCGACAAGAATTGAACCTTCATGTAGCTTTAAGTTCTGTAACATTTGCTAACCTGACGCTTTCTCTGTAGCTAAATATAAACAGAAAATATATGCAAATAATTGCCAGACTTAGTCCATTTCATTATATATATATATATATATATATATATATATATATATATATATATATATATATGTGTGTGTATACCAATCCCTTTTGGCATTATATATATATATATATATATATATATATATATATATATATATATATATATATATATATATATATATATATATATATATGTGCTTGCGTGTCTGTCTTTTTGATATATATATATATATATATATATATATATAACAAAAAAAAAAGAAAGAAGGGTCAGATTTATAATCCACAATTCTTTAGCATTTATTTATAAAACCATTGATCAATTCACGGTAGAGCATAATATAATATTATTATTTAAAAATATTTATTCATCGCGACAAAGAAATTACCATGTTTCGGAACTAAAAACTAAACTTTAAATTAAACTTAAAATTAATGCTTTTGTTCCATTCTCAAGCGATTTTGAATAACTTCCAAGTAAATGATTTACTTTTTTTAAGTTAAATAGTTTTATATATTTTAAGTAGTATTATATAGTTTAAATTGTATTATAAAGTTTAAGTTAGAACCCCCCACCCAACCCTAAACCT